GTTTAAGGAGAGAAAATGTTTTGAGAATGATGTACAAATGCGCTTTACACAATTGATGTGTGTATGGATTGCGATAACAGTTGTATGAGCCCCCAATAAAATGTTTTTAAAAAAAAGTGGTTTTGGTATTTATTTCATAACACACCTAGACATAAGTCATATACCCTGTCCTGATTTCCTTGGGGCAGTAAACAGTATAGTCTGTAGACCAACAAATTCTTTCGTTTCTTCATCTTCCTACTCTGTGCAGTCTACAAATATACAGACGACAGCCATAAACATTTCTATAAACTTTCCAATTTCACCGCCTTCCGTCTTCACAGTACCTCCCTCTCTGTCTAGGTCTAGTCTGACCAAATGTTTGTAATAGGAGCTGAGAATATGACTCTGTTCATTTTACTAGCCCACAGGTTTCAATTACAGCTGTAAACACTCACATCTCCAACCCCTGCAGGACGGCCCATTCAAGGCTACAGGCAAACATAACACAGGCCTAGCGTCTGCTCAAGTCTGATCGGTAGCCGTAGAAATAAAGTTCCCAAACTCCAAATTTTAGAGGGGGTGCGGGGGATGGGGATGAGCTTTTAAATCAGCCATGAATTATATCTGCTTCCCCTGGACAGATCACAGAAGAGCCGTAGGCCAAGTTTTAATAAGTGTCTTTTCTTTCTTTACCCTGCTTAGGGAGCTCATTGCCCAGCGCCAATCTCTAATGATACCACTTCAGTAATTCGCCACATATTTACTTTCTCCTCTTGACTACAACCAAGAAAGTGTGAGTTCTGTAGGGTGGGTGTTACAGTATCCTTTCTGATGTACAGATATTAGAATGCTGAGAGCTAAAGTGAAAAAGGGAGCGATGAGCCTCGTGTACGCTACACTTTCATCCAGCCCACTAACGCCTAGAAATATGCAACGAGAACACTAAAACTCGCGTAGTGTTCAACAGCAGCTTTACAAAAGGAAAACAGATCACCTCACACAGATGTTCTGTAACCAAAGCAGGAATAAAGGGGGGAAGGCAACTCCAGAAAAAAAAGAATTCAAGATTTTAAAAACATTTTTATATAGAAATATGGTACAAAGATTTTACAACATAGCAAATCATTATGTCAACCTGTAGAAAGGTGAAAAGGATTAAACCTCAATGACAAAGAAAGTGCTCATGGCCACACATTACAGTCTCTGTGAAAGTGCATAAACAGTCTAGACAAAGTACCACACTGGTACGGGCATGTTGCAAAATGACTTGTAAAACAGTTTTTTAAAAATACATATAAAAGGGTTTTTTCCCCCACCCCTCTTCTTCTCAAAGACTTTGGAAAGAAATACATTTATGAACATTCTTGCTCTACAACTATGTAAAAATAACTCCTGGGTATAAAACAGTAAAAGGAAAAATGCTCTGAGTATGTTCAAGCAAATGGTTTATAAAATAAAACCTTTCCAAGTGTGTGTGTTTTCTTTCTACGTTTAACTTCCCAGGCTTAAGACTTCTTATTTTTCCAAGAAACAGCAGCTGATTAAGGATGGTAGCATGAAATAAATTTGGCCCTCACTCTTCTGGGTGGTTCTAGCTTCTAGTTTTCATGACCAAACTATTAGCATGTGTTACTTGAAAACTACTAGCATTTTTGAAGTTCTATGTCCCCACTGTTAGAAATCTACTTTACAGCTTTGCTTTTACCTGTAGCTTGCACACAGCCATTTAATGAAATGCTATATATGCTTATTACAATATGTTGCCCTGTATGATAAAAACAGGAAGCTGTCTCCTCGTCTGATTTCATAAATGCTGTTAGCCAATGCTAACTTAGTTGTTCCACATACACTTATGTCCCTTAAGATCAACAGGAAGAGCAAGGAGCTATCAAACTTTAGTCTTCATCCTTAGAGCAGAATTTGTTTTTGTAATTTAAATGTGAATATGATACCAAAACACTAAACTGGAATGATTTCTAGGGAAAACTAATTTATCTGAATTCTAGTACCAATAATAAATATCTGCCAAAGGATAATGAATTCACACAACGAATCACTCTTTTATGTAAAGCTTTAGGTGAACTTACGCTACTATTTTATTTTCTGTGTGTAAATGGGTTGTTTTTATCTTGCTGTGTCAGGCGTACTGACTGGCCAGCCCATTTCTGCTGACTTTGGTTTCTTAGATGCCTATTAGCTCTCAAGGGACAGCTGCGGTAAAACTAGAGAGCAACATCCAACGACTTAAAGAAACTTTATAAAGCATAAAATAAGCACATGCGCTCTACATAGTCCAGTAACAGGGATAGCAACAATCAAACTGTTTTATACCACAGATGTATTAGATTGAGTTTCACCGGTGACTTCTTTTTCATTGGGGCCACAAACACAGAGCTGGTTGCCCAGAGATTTTTGGGCAAATCGGAAATACAGAACGTGGCCCATTGCCACAAAGGAGACTGAAATCAGTACGAGCAAGCCAAAAGCTTCAGGATTCGGAGCCAAGATGACCATGATGAAATGCACAAGATCAAGAAGATAGTTCATGGAGTTCTGGACCCCATTAATAATGCCTCTTTCAGATTCATCGACATTTTCTTGAAGCAGCTGTGTCACAGTTAAATCAAAAGCCCAAAGACCTGTTTAAAAAAAAAAAAAAGACCGAATGTTAATTTATAACATACGCTGCAAATTTATAGGCATAAATCAGATCTCATATGTTCAATACCCACTTTAGCTCTATTGTTTTATGCTTTTAACCACAGCCTGGCGTAGAGAATTAGTTTTCATTTATAAATCCTATGTTATTAACGGCTTCAAGAAAGCATTTCTATTCCCTAGCCAATAAATGCTTAAATTATATTCTCCTGTGACTCTTTGTACAACAGGAGTAAAACTCTAAAATCAGAAAAATAATAAATCCTGCTGTAAGTACTAGCATCCTTTTGAAAGCTTCAAATGAAAGGACCCAACAGATTGTTACGGTTAAGGGATAAGGAAACTTTAAACCATTATTACGTTTACTGCTTGGGTTCCAAAGCCCCATACAATAAAGCTGTCTTGCTTCAATATTAATGATATTGATAAATTAATGAATGTGCTTTGTAGCACCAGATAAATATGGTTTCATTTCAAGAAAGAAATTGGCCAGGGATAATTAGTTTCCATTAATGATTACTTAAAGTTTGCTTTGTAAGAAGCTTTTACGCTAAGTTTTCTTCCAGGGCTATAAAACCCATTTGTGTGGCAAAGTATATGTCATACACATTAGTTAAAGGACCTTTGATGTTATTTTTTTTCTAACTATGCCTCTTTTTAATACCAAAACACAATCTTTTTTTTAACCTCAGCTGATAGAAATGATCTCTGAATTATAGTTCTTTTGGTAGAGTTAAAGCAACAAGAGTCTAAATTTCTAAATAACAGTATAATAACCATAGCTAGTTTCTCTTTTTCACAAAGAATAAAAAGACAAGAATACACCTAGCATGCTCCTTCAGAACATATTTTCATATACACACACAATTCTCACAGTTAAAAACTGGATTATACATAACGGATTTTGCTTGCATTAACATTCAAGGGAACATTACAGGTCACTTCTTAGTGAATTCTCTGTACACAAATGCCAACATGACGCTTCTCAGTTCATTAATATACAAAACGAGCTTTCTTACCGACTCTAGCAGCAATGACCCCTGCAAACAGCAGACTGACAGAGATTATGGGCACGGATTGAGGACTCATCTCTGGAACATTACTAGTAGGACTGGACCCGTTTGGCATGTGCATTTCAGGGGTCAAGACGGCTTCGGGTATCTGCGTAGGTGGAAGTGTGGGCAGTGGCTCTCCTTGAATGAACCTAGTACGGATATCTTGGAAAGGAGAAACAGACAAGTCCAAAGGACTTCCGGGCATGAATACAGAGACCACGCACAGGATCAAAGAGGCAAGCTGTGCAAATCCTGAGATCAGACCAGTGCGAATCAGGCCAAATTTTCGGCGGAGCCAAGTAAAAGCCACAGTTCCCATGATTCCGGCTATGGCTGAAGCTCCCATCAAAATACTGAGGATGGAGCCGCTCAGTCCCTGAGTATAGGCGTACCCCGTGGTGATGCAGTCGAAGCCCAGGACAGTCATGTAGAGGAAAGCAAGACCCAGGCCGGCCAGAAACACAGACTGGTTGTAATAGGAGACCCAGCCGTTTCGGAAGGTGCGGAAGGGCTCAGCCAGCTGGGAGGCGCAGCCCTGCTCTTGCTTCTGGAGGTCAGGGTCGTTCTCGCCCATCAGCTGAGTTCCCTCCACGGGTTTCGGCTCAGTGTCTGTTCGCAAAGAGATAGCATCATTTTCAACAGAGGGAAAGGGGCAGTTGCTGGGGAGCATAAAATAAACGCATCTTACTTAGCATGTTTTCTTCTCCCTTTCCCCTGAGGACCCTTGGTAACGACATTATATCTGTTCTGTTACTAATGAGGATTCTAGCCAGGTGGACTTTTTAAGTAGCACTTAGGTTAAATAAGTAAAATACAAGCAATTCCTATTTCTATTCACCTCCTCCTTCCCCACTTCTTCCCTTCCTCCCTAGCCTCTCTTATGGAAATTATACTAATGAAAGTGATTAGCAGGAGAATGTAGCAGATAAGACATAAAAAATATTTAAGTCTGCTATCCCTCAACTAGTGACCTCTTTGTGATGGGTCAGCACCCCATTCCAGCTCCTTCACATCCAACCCACAGCCGTTCCCCAAAGCCTCTCAAGCCTGGGCATTGCCTCACCCACACAGTGCTCTTTTTGGTCCTTTACTTGTAATAAATCATCATGCAGAGTGAAAATAGTTTGGTTTTCACCAGCATTCAAAGTTGGAGCATCAGAGTAAAAGGACTGGTCATCTGACGGTGGGCACATTGAGGGGACTGAAGTGGATGATTTGAAGCACAATGTGTTTGAATTGTTGATGTAAAACTCATGACCTGACCTATCACCTCAATCACAAGAACGGTTGAGGTAAAACAGGATGCACCCCTTTCCCTCATACATACACAAAGAATTGGCCTTCTTGTTGAATTTACCTTTGTGTGCGTTCAGTTGTTTCAATTCAGCTTCTTCCACTTTAAGAGTAGCTTTTACAGCTAGAGCAGGGGTTTTCTGGTACACTTTCCAGAGTAGAAAGTACTCCACACACATGGACACTAAATTCCATCCGGAAATGAACCCACAGCCAATGACTGGAGAGCCAAACGTCATAATCTGGCCAACAGCCATGGGGGCCAAGATGTTGGTTAACTGATCAATCCTTCGAATTGTAGCATTCATATCTACAGAGTCGGATGAAAAGGGCAGGTAAGTGTGTAAACATATGAAAGAGATTTTTCTGCATAGCAAAGGTATCAATTCAGAGTATTGGTCCTTAATATGTAAACTTCTAAAAGCACTCTGTGGATAAACCATATTATTAGAAAACCATTTATTGTTTGTATCAAATCACATTGAATTCGCCCTAAAAATAATTATTTCCTTGGGATTTTAAAATTAGTCTAGTCCCAACTTTTAATATGAGTAGAAGTCACTACACATTTTTCAATGTATATTTACTGATTACTTATTAAGAACTAGCAATGTGCTTGGCACTGTGAAGGGCAATAAAATACTATCCCTTCTCGTTCCTGTAAGATAATATATCATCAGGCACATACTATGCAGTATATAGCAGATGTTCATTAGATGCTACCATCAAAAACAAAAAACAAAAAAAAACAAAAAGCAGGGGGGGTGAAATAGCAACGTCTCAGAAGAAAAGGGTAGGGAAAGACACTAGGAAATGGGCACTTCAAGCAGAACCTGAAGTGAGAAAAGGCAAATGAGTGAGTCAAATGGATATCAGCAAAGGAAAATCCCACAGCAAGGGAGGGCGAAGTCCTCAGGCAGGTGAGTGTTCGAGGTACATAAAGTAGAGCAGCGGGGCCGGAAACGAGTGAGGGATCAAGGGCAGGCACGGATTGAATGAGGGAAAACGGAGCCAGCAGCGATATAGTCATCTAGGAAAGTAAGAGAAGGTAGGGTGTCTGATCATCGGGCAACATGAAAGAGCCTACATGAACCCAGAGACCACAGATCATGAACTTTAAGTGAGAGCTGGGAGCAAACGTGTGGGTTTTTCTCCAACCATGCTCAGCTGTGGAGTACTAGGTTTAACCACGGTCTCAACTACCCAGAGCAGAGGAGGGGATTAAGTGAAGGAGAGTAAGCTAACAGATAAGTGGGTGGTCATAGTGCCTCACCCTGGAATTGAAGCGGAGTAAGTAAGGGTGGCAACAGAAGGGTCATACGCAGGGCTTTTGGGTGCCCGTGAGCTGTGAGGATAGTTGGGGTTAGAGTGGGAGAAGGACGGAGCTGCGAGCTCAAGAGCTGGGTGCCTAAGACTGAATTTATGGAAAAGAAGGATTTATGGAAAAAAATGATGACAAGGCTCAGGATACAACCACAGAAATGTACATCCGAGTTGGGTGGAGGGCAACGAGGGAAAGGAAGTCAAGGAAAATGACCAACTTTCTCTGTCTCACAAAGTAGAGTGAAAATGTATGAGGCAAACCTTCAGCAATCATTCGGGCTCCTTACGAGAAAAGTAGTACGTGACTAATAAGGGCATCATTTCTCTAATTCTTCCAGGCCCTCAATTACATTCCCATTAGTCCTTGAGTGTAGACTGCCTACTTGATAACAGGAGAACTTTGGCATAGTTCACCTTTCACTGAGAGGCAAAGGCAGTTGGCATTGATTTTACACGTGACCGTTTCTGAGAGGCTTCACTCACTCCCTTCGCCTCCCACTGAAAAAGCTCCCACTTGACGTGCTAACAGAGAAGCACAGGTGTGACCCAAATAACCGGGCAGGTTGGATCCACAAAGGAAAGACGGCATACATGCAAATCTCAAAATTCAGAGTAAAAAAAAAACAGTTGAGTTTAAAATTATGCTACTCTACCTCACTTTTCTCAAAGCTATGAATGTCTAGCTTCAACTCTATACTTTAAAGGTTAATAATATTCAAGTGTCAAAATTGTAGTTCCCAAACAACAACAAAAAATGCTTTTATTTTTTCCAAAGCAGAATGAGTTTAATCAAAACAAACAAACAAACAAACAAAAATCTAATCATTTTCTGTATCAGGACAGAAAAAATCAGCCTTGTAACTATTCAAACATATTCTCTCCACTATCTGTGTTTATTCTGATAAAAAGCACACAAAGTGAGCTCAGGCGATGTCAGTGAAACTATTTTCAGTGACAGTTGTTTTGACCGGAACATGACAGGGAGTAACTGGTTGCTCCCGGTGCTGTGGAGTCAGAGCCAATTCATACTTCAAATCTCGGCCCATAAGCCTAAAGGATTCCTGGCCTCAGCGGGCACAACTGTGCTAGAGACACCAGAGCAGAGCTGCTACCGGCACTCGCTGAAGTCACTTCCAAGCGTACTTTTCCCTTCTCGCTTCTACTTTTCTTGCATCCCCTTCTGTTCCTTGGCTCCACTGTTAGTCTGCCTTATGGTTCCAAACTATTCAGTGAGCTCTGGTTCTTCCCTAAACTAAAGAAGCTTCTATATCCTGCTTTGAAGCATGGGTTTTAAATAACACGAATTCTGAGGTTAAAACTTTAGAAGAGACAGCATGTAGATTTTCCTTCGCTCGTATACTCCTACCTGGAAGTGGAAAAATATCACTTACTAAAAACGAATTCATAGTGGACAAATGTCCAACAGCTTAGCCTTGAGAAATCCCACAACATTGGGAAATCTATAGTTTGGCTTAGATTCTTCCAATAATAATCACACACAGCGGAACCTATGGGAGTGGCCAGTCATGTGTACTGTTCTTTGTGCGCTTGTTGTAGGACATCACAAAGTTATCTGGGATTGATTGAGGCCTTCATCTATTCATCCATTCAGAACAAGGGAAAGATTCTGAGTAAATTTCTCTTTACAGAGCTATTCTCCAAAATATCTGAACAAAGATTTATTTTTAAATGCTAGATGAATCAAAAAGAGTTCAGTTGAGAAATTCAGATTAGAGGAAATTATTTTAAAAAGTCAACATTTTTCCAAAATATATTCTAGCAAATATGTCTGTGATGCTTTTCAAACCTATACCTTTGACAATATCCATGCTGTATCCTTTCACCATATTCAATCAATTGGTACATTGCACAGACAATCTAATAAAAAGGACTCTCAGAAGAAAAATGCAGCCGCAGAATTAGAGACTCACTAACAACCTGTGATATGCAGATGACACATCTTGCCAGCTTAACAGTAGGACTTGACGCATTTAACGATGAGTATCGAAGACTACATATAGTCTTCAGTACACCTTAACGAAAATGAAAATCCTCACAACTGGATACTTAAGTAACCTCATGATCGAAGTTATTAAGGGTCTAATTGTACTTGACCTCCAAAATCAATGCCCGTAAAAGAGCAGTTAAGAAATCAAATGGTATATACTACATTGGCCAAATCTGCTGCAAAAGACTAAAGGGTTACCGAGCAAATATGACGCCTTGAGGACTAAGTTGTGCCCTAGCCAAGTCATGGCATCTTCACTTGCCCCGTATCCTACACAAGCGCAGGGCAATGAACAAGGAACACTGAAGTGGCAAATCTGAGTTACGGTACTAGCAAAGGACATAGAGCATACAGTGCACTACCGGAAGAATAAATAAGTCTGTCTTGGAAGAAGTACAGTCAGAATGCTTCTTGGAAGCAAGAATGGTGAGACTTGCCTCACATGCTCTGGACATATTATCAGGAGGGATCAGCCCGTGGAGAAGGGCATCCTGCTTGGTAAAATAGAGGGCCAACAAAATATAGGAGGGTCCTCAATGAGAGGAATGGCACAGGGGCTGAAACAACAGATTTAAACACGGCTCAGGACTGGGCACCACTGTGTTCTATTGTCCACAGGGTGGCTGAGGGTCAGAATCAACTTCACAGCACCTCACAACATGCTTTTTCACTTTTTGAATTTTAAAACACAGGCATGAATTACATACATGAACAACAGAAAGCAAATAAACAAACAACAGACAAAGCCTTTTATCGTTTAGTAAGATAAAAATAGATATGGAATTATTCCTTATTAATAAATGACCCAAGGTGGGGGAGGGGGGATTAAAAAAAGAAAGAGCTCCAGAAAGCATCCCCTACAGTCCAGACTCAATTGTGCTAAGTTCATCATCCCTACTGCCCACTGAGTCAGTTCTAACCTATATTGACCCTACACAGGACAGAATAGAAATTCTTGGGGTTTCCAGACTGTCGATCTTACAGGAGTAAGTAGCCTCCCTTTCTCCTGATGAGTTTGAACCACCAACCTTGTAATCAGTCCAATGGTTAACCACCAGGATTCCTTGAGTTCATTAAAAGGCAGATACAAACCTATAACATCACTGTGGTGTTTCTATTTCAATTATATTAACTAATACCACAAAGTGATGACTCAATCAAATTCTTCTTGTTCTAGGAATACCATAACATTGTCCCCTTCCTTTGACTCCTTCCTTCCATCCACTTTTCCCAATGTTATGATCTAGGTAAGCAAAGTTGCTTGTTAACCCCAGCACATAATCTTGACTCCTTGCCCAAAGATAACCCAAGTCAGTCAGCAGTATATTGTCTGTCAGAATGATTGGGCAATGTATTTGTGACCTCCATTATCACACTGACCAGAGTTAAATCAAATGATCTGACCAGTAGGTAGATGTATTCATTCTCCTGCATTCTGTGTAATCATCAATCCAACATGTGTCTGTGTGTTTTATGGAGGGTGGGTAGAAAAATATATGGTGAGGCAGGTTATTCTGAACCCAGGCAATATTGTTCTAATAGGATATGTTGCTTTGTAAGCATTGTTTAGTATTTCTTTGGCCACTCATCTATGTTTTCAATGGACAACTAAGATGGTAGGCATCTTAAAAATTGTATTCTGTCCTCGGTTTCTTTTGTATCTATAATAGTACCTATTCTATAACCTCACACATACTTTAATAAAGGCTATAGATTACAACTTTAGAGGAGCCCTGGTGGTGTAGTGGTTATGTGTTTGGCTGCTAAGTATAAGATTACAACTTTAAAGTAGAAGAAATTAAATTCTAGAGTCTCTTTTAGAATTAAGTTGATTACATTTGGTCTAGAAGAAAATAATATCCACTGTGTGACTGATAAAGAATTTAGCCCATATTAAATATTCACTTTCTAACTATTAAGGCAACATTTGGAAACTGTTAACAGAATTTTTTTTATTAAAAGATCATTTTATTGGGGCTCTTACAGCTCTTATAATAATCCATATGTCAACTGTATCAAGCATATTTGTACATATGTTGCCATCATTATTTTCTAAACAGTTACTTTCTATTTGAGCCCTTGGTTTCAGCTCCTCTTGTTTGCCCAGAATTTTTTTAAAAAAAGAGTTGAAATGAGGATATTCTATTTTTTAAGCTTTCATAAAAGAGAAATTAACTATTCAAAAAATTAGGTTTATAACACTTTTTTACTGACAATGACAATATAATAAAGAAAAAGAAAAATATTTTCAACCTCTTATCTCAAAAATAGCTAAAACAACCATAAAAGTCAAATGTCATTAAATAATACAGATTAACAAAATAATAATAATTTATAAATTACCAAGGGTTCATGAGGGAAGGGGGCAGGGAAGGGAGAGGAAAAAAAATGAGGAGCTGATACCACGGGCTCAAGTAGAAAGCAAATGTTTTGAGGATGAGGGTAACAAATGTACTTGACATACAATGGATGTATGTATGGATTGTGATAAGAGTTGTACGAGCCCCTAATACAATGATTTTTTTAAAAAAAAATACAACGTGAAGCTTAGTTTGAAAAGAAAATATAATCTGAAATTGTATTGATAGAAAAATACAAATGTCTTCTATTTAAAACATGATAAAACTAAAAATTTACAGAAAATAAAGAGAAAATTAAATATGAAAAAAATACTGATTAAAAGTAAATCCGAATTCAATTGAAAAGAGAAAAGCAAAGTACCTGCGAGTTTGCTTCTGTCTCCTCCTGAAACTACGACAATCCAGTCCCTTTGGATGGTGATTGTAGTTGCGGTACTGGCCAAATTTGCAATATTTGCAATAGTGATGATCATGATATAGCAGGAAGTCTGAGGAGTTAAAAGAAAAAGTTGAGCAAAATTGCCAACTACATTACCTTACTATCTACTGCATTGTACAATGCATTGTACAAACAACTGCACTGTAGTTTTAAATGGTCTCTGTGACAAAATAACACATTTTTGTTTTAGTTTTTCATTTTTAAGAAATTATTTTACTTTTACATGTGAAAAAAGAGGTTATTAAGGGGCATATATCTCCCTATTCTGTATCATTTGTAGTAAATGGGTACTACAAAGATTATAATAACTGGATTTTTTTTAAAAAACATTTTTTCCTGCAAATATTGCCCCAGAAAAGAATCCGAAGGAACGAATGAGAAGATCTGCATTTCAAAAAGAACTCTGCTATTTAATATACCTTGGCAGTACACTGGTAATCAACTAACATTACTTCGCCCTAGTGTTTTTATCAAGAAAATGAAGGACTCATAACCAAGCTTAATGCCGTTGAATCCGCTGACTCACAGCGCCCCTACAGGAGGAGAACTGCCCCTCTGCTTCTCCCACTGCCCCAGGTGTGGCTACCTGCACCAGCAGGGTTTCTCCAAATGAAGGGCTAGATTAAAGAGCACTAAGGGCCTTCTTCCTAGCTTTAGAGTTCTGTAGCAACAATCCAAAGATAAACAAAAGATTCAGCAGTCACACCAAACTCAGTGTTTCCCACTCCACCATATGCCCTCTTGTCCTTTGAGATATCATGGAATCTTAACCGGAGAAGTTATCGATTTAATATCCTCCAACATAAATACAGTTTCTACTGGAGGAACACAATCATGGCATATATGACATATCTTACACAGTGAGAACAAATTACATATTAATACTGAAACGCAAAACAGCTAAAATTACATGTGGAATTTATGAAAACAGCATTACAAACCTACAGGTATGTGGAGGAATATTAAAGTAGGCACAGATATCAATGTTAAAGATCACATTTACCAAAAAAACACCTCCTGTCCCCTAAGGTTTTTTGTCTTTTTACCACTACCAGGTGTTCCATTTTCGGAAATCGAGTATCTCATTGAAAACTTACAAGAACCCATCCGTGGTACATGGTCAACAGCGCGTTTTTATGTAGGAAAACCATCATCAAGATGATTCCACACAGGATTACTGAAACATTCTGGACCACCAGTGCAGTCTGGGCCACTGTCAAGGAAATAAAAAGCAAAGTGTTCACAACACCAATCTCCTCAGGAGGGTTTTTTGGTTTTTTTGGTAGCCATATATCACTGCTCTACTACTTTAGGGCCCATGCACAATTACAAGAGGAAAAGTTTCCTGAATTAAACCCTGCCTTGACTACCTCACATATCCAGATGATGAGGATGGTTAAAATTTTAACAGACCAGTTCAAATGGTAGACGCAGAACGATGAAGCACTCCAATTTCCCCTCTATCTACTGAAGACATTCCTCAAGACAATTTTCACCTGGTTTATTCTCTTGAAAGTTTACTGATATAAATAGAAGTGTGATTACATGGAGACAATCCCTCTTTTATCTCTTTGTGGCTAAAGCATGCGCCCAGCTACAACAGGTTATGGGCCCCAGGGCCAACTAAGCCTGATAAGAATGCAAACAGGAAGGACAAACAAAAAAATGTCAAAAGGAAAGCAGCAGTGTATTTCTTTTGGTGTGCCCAGGGCCCATGCTAAGAAATGCTAAGCTATAGCTTTCCTCATAGGAAATGGGAGATTTCATCTAAAGCGGTGGTTCTCAACCTTCCCAATGCCACAACCCTTGAATACAGTTCTTCATGTTGTGGTG